CCAAAGAGAAAGGAAAAATTGAAATCGCATCATATGACCCCTTTAAGATTACGTAAAGCTATATAATAATCCATGCTGCATACTCTGGTACAGTAGGTGGCGGTATGCACCTGACAAGTTATTATTGCAATCCGCCATTAAACTAAAAGAAGAAGAAGAAGAAGAAGAAGAAGAAGAAGAAGAAGAAGAAGAAGAAGAAGAAGAAGAAGAAGAAGAAGAAGAAGAAGAAGAAGAAGAAGAAGAAGAAGAAGAAGAAGAAGAAGAAGAAGAAGAAGAAGAAGAAGAAGAAGAAGACGCCATTAAACTAAAAGAAGAAGAAGAAGAAGAAGAAGAAGAAGACGGCGTGCGTATAATAATGATGAGTGGGATAGAGGCATGGTACATGGATGAGTCCAGCGAGGACCAGAAGCTGCCTCACAGACTGAAGCCGAACCAGCCCGTGACTCTCAGACAGCTCGAGCAGATCGGAGTTTATTACTGGAAGGTTCGAGCAGAAATCACACACACATTAATATTGCACACGCATCACGTGACACGAGCGTTATGCTTGCTGTGTATGAATGCAAACAGAGTCAAATATGCAAACATAGAATCATCTAAAAAAAAATATTGATCCACTTTCTATGAATGTTAAAGTACAACAACATATCTGACTAAACTTCAACAATAACTGTTATGATCCACCTTTACAAAAACATGATTTTTTTTTATGGTTGTCGTGGTAAACATAGTTATTAGTGTAAACATATTAGATGGCATTCAGACAGTTATGATGAACAATGCAATTATGTCCTGATAACAGTTATTCCTTATTCACTTGAAATAAAATAAATTATTTAGAATATACAGAAAATGTAAAATTATTTAATTTTAGCTAGTTGTCAAGGCACTGTTTTCATTTAAGGTTGAAGTAAAAATTTAAATAATTTTTTTTATAATAAAAATTAAATACTATGTAGATATACTTAAAAAATTAAAAAACACAACAAAACTATTAAAACTTACTAGAAAGTGAAAATATAACATGTAAAAATAAAACCTAATTCAAAATATTAACAAAAATGAATAGTATTTTAGTGGCACTAAAATATGATTGCTTGTCTGTTTTCAAAGGTTTGGATTTTTTTCTCTTTTTTTTAGTTAAATGCTGATATTTATGAAAATGACCCTGAACTGCAGAAGATCCGTGAAGAAAAGGGTTATTCCTATATGGATATCATAACGATTCACCCAGATAAACTTCCTGATTATGAGAACAAAGTAGGTTATGCATATTAACATGATTTAATTTGTATGAAATAAAAATCATTGTCAATGTATCAGTATATATTACGCTTATTTTTGTAATGAAATCCATCTGTAAATCTCAAATTCATGCTTTCCAGGTGAAAATGTTCTATGAGGAGCATCTTCATCTTGACGATGAGATCCGTTATATACTGGACGGATCGTCTTACTTTGACGTGAGGGACAAAGATGACCGCTGGATCCGAATAGCTGTATCTAAAGGGGATCTTATCACACTGCCGGCGGGAATTTACCACAGATTCACCGTTGATGAAAGCGTATGTGTCTCAGAATTCACTGAACTAAAGCATTTCCATCCAATTATTTAGTAGACGCTGCTCCCCGGGCCTCCCACTGCTGCTCCAGGTGTGTGTGTGTGTGTGTGTGTTCACTACTGTGTGTGGATTAAATGAAAACGTGTTTGTCTGTATGATCAGTAATATGCTTATAGTTTAGCATATAAGTGTTTGTTTTACTACTCATACCACAACAGTAAATAAGCATGTCTTTATATAGAAATATTATGCTATTAATTAGCTTAAAAGAGACTGGCTCCTAATTTGATGATCTAAAAGCATTTCACAGATTTCTTTGTTCATTGATATAACAATATTTTCTGTGTGCCATGTTTTGTGAAGTTTTGGACATTTTGTGCAAACAGCCCAATGAAAATGTATAGGTTATAAAAAAAAAACTTAAAATTATATATATATATATATATATATATACATACAAGAAAAGAAAGAAAAAAAAGTAAAAAAAAAAAAGATAAGGCACATATGAAAATGTGATATGGGGGCACTGAATGATTCAGAAAATATTCCAGCATTTACAATTCCAGAGTTGTTAGCAAAAAATGTAAATTAGATTACAATGGTGAATCTCACCAAATATAGTATACAGCCTCGTACATTCTGCTACATTTTATTGCGATCAGTCATCCAAAATGCATCTTATTAGCTGCAGGCTGCCATTTTTGTTGTTTTGTATGATTGATTTTTCATGGCTTGCTTAGCACTGAAGAAGAAATGCATTCAGTTGTGTGTGTGTGTGTGTGTGTGTTCACGTTCACTTGGATGGGTTAAATGCAGAGCACAGATTCCGGGTATGGGACACCATACTTACTCACACGTCATTTCACTCACTAACTTATAGGAATAGTTCCCCCAAAAATGAAAATTTGCTAAAAATGTCTTCACCCTCAGATCATTCGATTTGGAGATGAGTTTGTTTCTTCATCAGATTTGGAGAAATGTAATCACTGTCTCAGCAATGGATGCTCTGCAGTGAATGGGTGCCGTCAGAATGAGAGTCCATCAATTAACATCTTGTGAAGTGAAAAGCTGCATGTTTGTAAGAAAAGAAACATAATAACATAAGATCCATAATAACTCTTCCTCCAGTGAAAATGTGGTCTGGTCTGAATCAGGAGAGAAATTTGCACAGATCAAGCACTGTTGTTTACAAGCTAAAACAAAACAGCTCTAAACAAATATGTGGCTGGATTTTGATGTGAGAGACAACAGGAGATGGACTTTATCACTGGAGGAAGCGTTATTGATGATTGATTATGGATTCCTATTTTAGCAACGGTTTGAAGTTAAAAAACGGCGTAATGATGGACCCAAATATAGTATACAGCCTCGTACATTCTGCTAAATTTTATTGCGATCAGTCATCCAAAATGCATCTTGTTAGCTGCAGGCTGCCATTTTTGTTGTTTTGTATGATTGATTTTTCATGGCTTGCTTAGCACTGAAGAAGAAATGCATTCAGTTTAACTGACCTTGATCAAACTGTTGAGGAGTTGCCGCGCCCCGTATGGGCAGATTTTGACACAAATTGGTGTGCGTCCTCAGAATGACTTCTTGTGTATGCGTATCAAGTTTCGCTAAGTTTAGACATTGCGTTGAGCAGATTTAGGTTTATTAGTCAAAATGGGCGATGCCAGACTGTTTGATTGATCTTTAAAACACTTTGATAAATCAGTTTTCTCTTCTCAGCTTTTAGTCATGATGGTCTTGGGATAATGTGTGCCAAGTTTCATGTGAATCGTACGAACAATCTAGGAGGAGTTCAAAAAAAGTAGCTTTTAAAAAAATTATATAATGGCAGGAAAATGCCATTTTGAAATCAAATAATTGGCAAAAGAGTACAAAAACAACATAGTTCTCCTAAATATATGCCGCATTAATAAACCACATCTCAACACCAGGTCAGGTTTTCACACATTTATTAACAAGATTTCCTTTTCTCATTGTCAGAAATACACAGTACAGTTATAATTAGCTTAGACTCTTTGAAAACAATCATTTAAAGCATTAAAAAGCATTTCTCTTGATTCTCGAAACGCGGGTAACCTTAACCCTTTTTTCTGCTCTGTGCGGAGCAAATATCATTGAGTTGTCAAGTTAACTTTGGTCCTGTCTGTACATGGTAAGCACAACATACGTGAACTTGTAAAAGCTCCAAATGCGGAACAGTATTTTCACGCGTAATCATCCGGTAGCGTCCTGCGTGTTGGATGGTGGCGTCTCATACTAGCTTGAGGCACTGGACGTTGAAGCTGTCTCCCTCTCTACAGGCGGTGGCCTCCAGCAGAGCTTGTTTCTTCTGCGTGCTGCGCGAGGACTCCAGCTCGTACATGGTGGTGAGGTTGAAAAGCACGCTCTCGTGCAGGTAGAGCGCCGGGTATTTGTGCACCAGGCTCTCCAGCTGGCCCAGGGACTCCTTCAGCCTTCTTCTCAAGACATTAACTGATGGACTGGAGTGCTGTGGATTATTGTGATGTTTTTATCAGCTGTTTGGACTGTCATTCTGACGGCACCCATTCACTGCAGAGCATCCATTGCTGAGACAGTGACGCAATGCTACATTTCTCCAAATCTGATGAAGAAACAAACTCATCTACAAATTGAATGACCCGAGGGTGAAGACATGTTAGCAAACTTTCATTTTTGAATCATCCATTCCTTTAACTAAAACAGTGTTTTGCTTTTCTCTTCAGAACTACACTAAAGCCATGCGTCTGTTTGTCGGTGAACCGGTCTGGAAGGCCTATAACCGCCCAGCTGATGACTCTGACATCCGTAAAGCCTATGTGAACTCCCTGAGGTGCTCTTGAGATGCGTGATGGGATTGGTTTAGTGCTGCTGAATCACCGGATTGCTAATGTGCTCTTCATCAGATCAAACTCTGCAGTGCCTTTAACAAACACTCTTGACACGGGTTACAATCATGAGTACTAGATCTAATAAATCATTACTAATGATAAACACATGAGTATTTTGATAGTTATGACAATGCATTGTAGTCCTGCAGGGCCGTGTGAATGGTGGTTGTTTAATGGACTCAGCATTAATTCATTACTTTCTATTAAAAGATGTAGGGAACCACTACAAACTGTTCGGTTTTCATGAATAAGACTAATTTGCATTATATATTTGTACTGATTATAATAAAGTGATACTGCAATGCAGCAACACTGAAAAACTGTCATATTAATGAAGACATGTTAGAAAAAGTAAGTAAACGGTCTGATTTTCCCAAATACAGCAGACACACGGCTGCATTGTTGCTTGCCTGAAGAACAAAGTTGGCATTGTTATCGCCGGCAGGTTATCCAGTGCTGTTTGTCTGGCGGTGCATCACTCGGTCACGTGTTCAACTTACCACTGGGTTCTTGGGATCAAGTTTCAAGACGCTGGAGAAACACGTGTGCGCGTCTGCATAGTTATTCTGACTCAGATAAACAAAAGCCCTGTGGACGACATCACATTCAGCTTCAGGAGAACCACAGAAGCACATATACTACTTCTGAAAGAAGACTCTTATGCTCGTTAAGGATGCATTTATTTGATCAAAAATACAGTTTTATAGTAATTTATTTCTGTGATGCGCAGCTGAATTTTCAGCATCATTACTCCAGTCTTCAGTGTCACATGATCTTCAGAAATCATTCTAATATGCTGATTTGCTGCTCGCGAAACATTTCTGATTATTATCAATGTTGAAAACAGTCGTGCTGCACAATATTTTTGATGTTAATAAACCAAGATGCACAATACCAACAAAATAAAAATAAATAAAAACTTTTATTCAACGAGAGCACATTAAATTGATCAAAAGTGACAGGAAATACATTTTATATTAATTTATTAATATAAAAATATTTAAGTAGAATCATTTAAAATTCTTATATTCAAGTAAATATTGTTCATTGAATCCTGAAAAAGTAACATGATTTCCACAAAAATGTTAGGTTGAAAAAAAAACTGTTTTAAATATGAATAAGATGAAGAACCGTTATTAATAATTGAACAGAAATATCAACTGATAATAACTGAGCAGCAAATCAGCATCTTAGAATGATTTCTGAAGATCATGTGACACTGAAGACTGAAGTAATGATGCTGAAAATACAGCTGCGCATCACAGGAATAAATTATAATTTACAATATATTCACATAGAAAACGGGTATATTAAAATGTAAAATTATTTCACAATATTACTGTTTTTACTGTATTTTTGTATCAAATTAATGCAGCCTCGATGAGCAGAAGAGACACGTCTTTCAAAAACATAAAAAAGAAATAAAAACAATCACCGTTATTCCAGCTTTTGACGGGCTGGAGTGTAAACAGATTATATTAAATGACTTGACAGAGCAGAAATCAGCGTTCACCTGTTCATCAGCACTGAGGTGTCTTCATTAGGTGTTTCTCCCTTTGATTGACAGGCTTTCTCCACATCCTGAAAATACTTCTCAGCGGTTCTGATGTCTCCAATCTAATCATATGAACAAACCGAACCTTAATTATCGTCTGTGTAGAGATAAAACATGAAGAGCGAAGCGGACTCTCTGATCCTCTTCAAAAACAAGCAACTCTGCAGAGCAAGGACAGCGTTCACTGGCTTTCCACTTACAGGTAAACATGGCATTTTTCAACCAAAAATGGGTCCAACGTGAAGGTTTAAAGGGGTCATATGATGCGATTTCAAGTTTTCCTTTCTCTTTGGAGTGTTACAAGCTGATTGTGCATAGATAAGATCCCTGAAGTTGCAAAGACTAAAGTCTCAAAACCAAAGAGATATTCTTTATAAAAGTTAAGACTCTGCCACGCCCCCCTAAAACGGCTCGTTCTAACACGCCCCCACTTATCTACCTCACTATGTGGGAATATTTGCATAATGCACCCAAATGTGCACGCAAAGAAAGAAGGCGTGGTTTCAGTAACCGCCAGTTAGTGTTGAAGCAACCATGTCAGGGAGACGCTGTGTGTTTAAGTGCGAAAGCAAAAGCACTTTATTTGGCCTTCCGAAAGTAGATGCATTTAGGAATCTTTAAGATTACTTAAAACAGAACAGCAATGCATTTTATGGACGACCGTTTCGTGAACCTAGGAGAGGAGGTAAAGGAGGGGGCTTTGTAGAAAACGAAGCGTTTGAGAGAGGCGGGGCATAGAGGACCTACAATAATGTACAGTATTTGAAAAATAATGTGTTTTTTGAACATTAAAGCATGTCAACATATTCTGTTACACCAAATACACAAAATAATGATCTTTAAAAAAGCATCATATGACCCCTTTAAAGCATTTTATTTGTATTTTTTTTCCAGACCTTTGATGTGCCCTTGATGGACATAATTCTTAATTTCTCAAAATGACTGACCGCAAACTTTTGGACAGTAGTGTGCATATAGCAGATGCATGCTAAAACCTAAAGCACAATTCTAAAGTTCAGAATTGTAAACTGTGTTTAGCTGTTGATGCACCTGTAGGAAAATGCGGCCCATTCCACTCAGCAGCTGCACTGTTTGCTCCGGCTCATACTCGATGATGGAGTGATACGTCTCCACGGCCAGCACATAGTCCTTCATGTCAAAGAGAAAATCAACGCTGTCATGATTACACACCATCTCATTGCTCCAAACTTGCATTTTGTGACTGTCAAGCTCCAAAAGAACAAAAACACCATGACAGTACCATAAAATGCATATATGACTGTTAGGAACCTCTAGTGATTAATTCCATGATTCCTAAAGTCATATGATAGTTTTGTGTGAGGAACGGACCAAATGCATCGTGTCAGTTTGAATTTGAATATTGCGGGATGAATGAGATTTGACAGCTGCAGCGGATAGTTAATCTCATTCAAAGCTATAAATGACTTGAGAAGACTTAGAATATAGTTTATGAGGTGTATGAGGTGTACTGTTAAGAGCTTGACAGACGTGGTCACTGACAAGACCAAAAGTGAGTGAGATGTTAATAATAGGCATGCTAATAATAAGTGACTAGTTAATAGTGAGAATTGGTCCTTATACTAAAGTGTTACCTTTTTATTTATTTTTTTATTTCATTTTTCATACACACAACCATACATTGTACAACATGCAGTGAAATACTTTGTTTATTTTATAGAAAATAAATAAAAACATAAGTGATATATATTAACATAAATCAGGAATAGAATTGACAACAATTTAAGAATTTATAATTTATAAAAACTTTATAATTTGAAGTTTATTTAAATTTAAATGATTTAATTTAATTACACTGCACCTTAAAATTAAGTGTAACCCATTTTTTACCCCCTTAAATCCCCAGGAAATCCAAGTATGACATTTATAAAATATATACATACTGTATATATATAAAAAAAGAAAAAGAAAAAAAAAAATGCACTACAACAAGGATTCACGTTTGTGAGTTTCTTCGGTGCGAGTCTGCTAACCAATGTGTGTCACTACAGTCTTTGGCCAGCAGATGGCACTTGTTGAACATGATAACTTGCAAAAAACAGGTATTTCTTTAGCTACTGACAGTCTGGTATACTATAAAGATATAGTAGGCTATGTGTGCATACACACTGTTTTACCAGTAGAACAGTAATCAGAAAAGCTATTTTCTCAGTAGGCACCTGCTTGAAGGAAAGCCTGTAATCTCTAACCCTAGAGTCTGTGCATGTGCACGGATATGATTCAGGTCAGATATGAAAGCGCGAGTGAGTATATGTTTGCTAGCTCTTCCACTCACGTACCTTCATCATTAGCAGACAGTTGGCCATGGAGTACATCACCCTGCTCAGACGTGACCTCCACAGCTGGATGGAGGCTGAAACACAGAGCAGAGAGAGAAAGACTGAGCAAATGGAATAGAATTGGAAATTGCAGTCTTTCCCTCCTTTTCCCGGCTCTAAACCATCAATTATTTGTCTGCTGGCGGGAATTATAGTGCAGGAGGAAAAGACACAGTGACAATCGCATTTATTTTCCCCCTCTGGCTCACTGTAGACCCCCATCAGCGAGCTGATCTGATCTCATATGTGTGTGTGTGTGTGTGTGTGTGTGTGTGTGAGAACAGACTTCAGCACATGTGTCTCAGTACTGATGCTGTGTGACCGCACAGACCGACAACATCACGCTTCCTCCACTCCTGCCACACAAATCAGAATTGTGAGAATATTCCAGAAAGCATACTAATTAAATGGGTCATGAACTGAGAAACCAAAATTCCCTTGATCTAGTGTTTACGAGAGAGGCGAATGCGCAGGTCTACGCAGAAACCAAACAATGAAGATGACTCCAAAGACAACAAGACACTGTGCAGTGCCAAGCTGTGGAAAAACAATATTTGCGTTGCCTTCCTTCTGATCCCAACGTTAGGATAGAGTGAATAAACTTTATTTTTAATTAACTTTATTTTATTTTTATTTACTTAATTTTACCGTGGATTCGTTTAGAAACAAGGCACAATTCGACGTAGGATCTTCAAAAAGATTGAAACTAAAAGACAATGCTGTGCGACTATATTGGATCCGACAGTAATGTCGCAACACACAAGTGTGAGTAACCGTTTTTATTATGTGATCACTATTGCTTTGTCTCTTCTTACAGATCGTTTGGTTTGATTGTAATGAGTTATTTATGCGTTTTTGACCTAAATCACTGCAGCGGCCATCTGTGAAGGATGTAGGCTGTCAAACATACACAACTCAAAACGACAGCTTGTGGAATGTTTTACTCTATGATGTAATAGTGTGGATAATCACCGCCTCCACAGAAGATGATCAACGCCTGCTTCTACATCACTGCCTGTTTAGCCCCGCCCACCGATTCGACATCACTGCCTGTTTAGCCCCGCCCACGATTCAACATCGTTGCCAGTTTAGCCCCGCCTACCGATTCTACATCACTGCCTGTTTAACCTCGCCCACCGATTCTACA